GACTATTCAATTATATATATATACTACATGAATTTAACCTACTCCCAATCCCTCTCCAATTCTTACCTTAATACTAATAAAATATAAAAGGAAAATAAAATTAGTACACAAATATAAGTACTGCTACGTGATATATAGTTATATATATATATATATATATATATATATAATACAATATAATATACAACTTATAATTATATATATAATCTGACTATAGTTATTAATATTAACTATTTATAATACTAATAAAATATAAAATCCTTATATACATATATACCCATATATATATGTACATCCATCCATGGGTAAAATTCGAACCCATCAAAGCTCCTATTCAAGTAGTCCATGCGACCGAATTAGTTGGTCTATTACTACCATCAATATCCATCCTTTAAAATAATAAAAAAAATAAAACATAAAACATAAAACAATTAAATCATTTAATCCTAACAAATAATTACAATTAAACAATACATTATTTAAGCAAGCAAAATACCCAATTAATTAACTACACAAGCACTCAATTAAATCAAATACATCAAATAAGCAATTTAAAACAAATAGGCATATAATCTATAGCCACATAATCAAATAAACAATTAAAAATACAATTAAAACAAATAAATAAATACCGAGACTATCCTTTTAAAATTAGGGGTATTACAGAGAATATAAATATTAAAAGGTTATTTGGGTTTGTTTTTGGATCACTTAAATGTGTTTTTGTTTTCAAAATTTACTTTTAGATGTTTTTATTTATTTATTTATATACTTAAGCCTTTTTTTAATTAAGATTTACTTTTTCAAGGGGTAGGAGAGCTTATTGTCACGCCCTGCCTAAACTCTAAGCCCGTGACATTATACTATCTTCTAGTGCCTATGGGAACTTTTAGATGTGCTTGGTAATACCCAAAAAAAAGAAAAAAGAAAAAAAAGAAGAAGATCAATTTGGTTTAACACGATTACAATTAGGGTTGAATAATTAGAAGAAATCTTAAATTATATGTAAGTTGTTGAAAAATATATGTTTCATATGACACTTAAGATATAACAAATCTTATACTAATATGTCATAAGATAATTAAAATATGTTAAGAAATGATTAATTAATTATACAACTCAATATTTAATTAAACATGAAAATAAAACAATAAAATAATAATAATAAATAAAAAATCTATAATGAGGCTATTATTGGATACTATGTTGGCGATTGTCTCTAATAATACAACGGTCTTCATTCACCAATAGCACTATTCTAAACTCGTATATACGGCGAACCTCCTCTACACAATACCCTCAATAACTTAAACATGCATCTATACTACACAAATAATGTGTTGGGTTTGATCCTAACTAATTGGCTCGGACCAATTGACCATCCGACAACAACTATAAAAACTTGGTCCATGTGGTTCAAACCACCTGGCATGAACCCAACCAAACTCAAGCAAACAAAACAGAGATGACAACTCTGGCTTCATTATTTCTTGTCAAAAATCAAGTTTTAATAAGAAAAAAGAGACTACTTTTAAACCAATAGGTATCCTAACATTAATACCTGGTGTGGTCTCTTTTTATTGGGGGTGTCAGGACATGGATTAGATAAATACTTGATCTTGAATTTTTCGTAATTAATTAATTAATATTATTATTATTATTATTATTATTATTCTTTTTATTTATTTATTTATTTATTTTTTTGTATGGGTAAAAAATTTGTACACTCTCTTACTTTTATGAGGAGTTGAACTCCAACCTTTTAATTTAGAAGTTGCGGAAGTGTCACGAGATTACATGGCGATTTCTAAAAAACAGTGTGTTATTACTATGGAATAAATTTATGTGCTTTCCTAAACTCTATAGATAATAAGAAAATGTTTATTTATTCAAATCAGTAATAATTAGAGTGCAACAGTTGATGGGTCAATTCGATTCAATTCGAGGAACTCTCAACCCAAGTCGCAGTATAATCTAACCTTCCACACAAGGAACTAGGCTTAGAGTGCTCATACTAGGTTAAGTACAAGTGTGATACACAAATTTAGAAACTTTCAATACTTTATTTTTTAATATTAACTTGACAGAACCAGGTGTCTTTGGAAAACTTCTTGTTATCTAGTCGTGTTAAAATTTTGTATAGACGTTGACTTTACAATATTTATTTTATTTTATTTATTTATTTTTTCTTGTGAAGGATGTAGTCGTCAATTACTACTAACTGCTCATAATAACTTCACTTGCTTGTCATTAAATAAATGAAAATTTTCAAAAAAAACTACTGCTACTACATTTCTTGTAAATTGAATTCTCTGTAACTGTTCTCAATGTAAGAAATCTAGCTTCAAAAGTCGACCAAGCAAATGTTATTAACCATCTTCACATCTGATGCATATGTGGGTCCCTTTGACTCTTGTTACTTACCCCATAATTGCTCCATCAATATCTGGAGAAGCAGCTTCGTTCGCTGTGTGTACCCACAAGGCCATGTTCGGAAACCTGACTCCTGGCTAGAACATTCAAATTGACAAGCTCCCTTCCCATTTTAAATTACTATAATGACCACATGTTCACACAATTCGATTCCACCAACTTCTTGAATAAATAAGGATTAAATTGGAATTAACAGATTCAGAAATATTGAAATTGGACAGAATCATTGGAATTAGTGATAACCAATCAAATCTGCCTTGGATGAAAGGTTCAATTCGGTTTGATTCTAAGGTTTTTAACGACTGATGTAGGGGTGGGTTTTGGTGGGCTTGAGCCCACCCTAAAATTATATATTTTTTAATATAGGTAATTTTAGTCCAATCCCAAAAAAAAAAAAAAAAAAAAATACTAATATTAGCCCACCGAAAAAAATATTAATCCAACCCATTTACGATTCTTGAATCGCACTTGAGGGTTTTGGATTTATATATATATATATATATATATATATATATATATATATCCAAACCAATCAAATGAACCGTACCTTCACCATACTGCACGACTTTAACTATTTTTCTATACCCTTCTAGTAGTGTCTGTGAAAGGGTATATTGGTCTTTTGCTATGTATAACTCATTGCTTCCTGGCAATAGATTTTTTTTTTTTTTTTTTTCTAAAAAAAAAAGAGAAAGAATTGAACCGCTCCTTCACATACTGCTCGATTTTAACTATTTTTCAATACCCTCCTAGTAATGTATGTGAAAGGTATATTGGTCTATTGCTATGTCTAACTCATTGATTCCTTAATCTTAAGGGGTTGACTCTAGTAGTGGTAAGTCAGTTGGGCATGATGCTTCATGAGGTACGGGTCTAGAGTTCTGTGAGATATAAATTTTGTAATTGACAAAATTTAGTGTCAAAACGTGTCTGATTGAGTTGTAATTTTTGTTTTACTTTGAGTCTTGAAGTCAAAAGCGAAACTACAAGTGTTGCAATGTGCGAGCATACTTCGGTTCGATGAGAATATCGTTCAGAAAATGTATGTGATTGAGGACACTTTATATTTGAAGTTTGGTTCAGTAGGAACTGGCAAAAATGAGTTTTATTTATTACTGGTCTACATGTGCAAAAAATCAGTATTTGGTAACTTTTTAGTTTTATGTTTTTACCCAAACTTGGAGGGCAGCCTTTGCATGATTTTTGAAGCTATTTTTACCTATTGTAAGGACTCTCGAAGTCTGTATAAACTCTTTTTCCTTCATGATTAATTAGGTTTTTAAATAGAAAAATAATTTGGCTATTGAGATTCTTTTTAGAACATTTTTCTACAGATAATCACCTTGATTATTGTGTATATTTTTGTATACTTGAGAGCACACACAATTGCACGAGAGTGATCCTAAGATGGTATTCTCAATCTGATCGAAGTTCAAGGACATTGAAGATTCAATCAATTCCGTTCAGAAAAGCAGGGTTTCTATTTTTGTCTTCGATCAACAAATTCTGATTTGAAGAAAAGGAGGGAGCGATCACACTTTAAAGGGATCAAGACATTCGTGGAGTGTTGATTGATCTACCAGCAATCCTTTTACAGGTATCAAGAGTAAGTCTGAGGTTAAAAGCTATTGGACGGAGGAGTCGCAAAGTAAGGGATTGTCAATAATTGGTTTTTTGTAGAACGATAGGGTATCAGCATGAGTCAGAGTCAACTGTACTTTGTTTCAAACATAGTGGATCGTTTTGCTCAAGACGACAAAAGTCTCCCTGGTTTTCATCACGATAGGTCGGATTTCTTTCAACTAGGTTTTCCACGCACAAAAACTCTGGTGTCATCTCCAAACTTTATTACTTTGTTTACTTGCTCTCTATTTTTGTTTTGTGGGTTTGATTTTAATTTTATTTCGGTAAAATTAAAATGAGTAAATTTGAATAAATGAGCAAGTAAAACATATTCATCCCTTTAGATTATTTTTAATACAATCTTCCACATCCATTATGCATAGCGCAACTCACAAGTTCCACTCCCTTAAATGCAAATAACTCTTTAGGTGCCACACCCGCGTGTGAAAAATCTGAGCTTAATCCGATCCTTACAGAGGAGACGCTTTATACAGTGTCCCGAGGATTTAATCAAGGGAAAGGCCGGATGCTGGATTACCTAATAAAACCTTCATGTTTTAAAAAAAATTCAATATTGTCATCCATATATTTTAAGCCATGATATTTTTTTAAAAGAGAGATATTCATTTGCAAAACTTGTATATATACACACTCTCTCTTGTTTGTGTCATTCTGTGTTTTCAGTTTTTACTGCTCCCTGTATTTTTGTGTGATCCGCCCGAAACCACATCCAACGGTAAAGACATAAATAAATTAAATCATAGAGAGGCACATCACAAAAAAGATAAAAGGTTGATTGTGATAGTTTAGTTCCATTGACTTGAGCTCTTGTATTTACTCGTTTTGGCATTCCTTTTTTGATCTTGACATCCAAACACATCTGCCTCTTTCCACTTCCACTTAATCCCACTCACCACCTGTTTTCCGGCCAAGAGGGTTCACAAATGGGTGGTGACAGCTCTACTAATTTATCTCATCTTTTTGTTCAATCCGACTTCGGCGAAACTGACTTGGCCGGTGCAGCTTCACCGGACGACCTCTTTAGCATTTTTGAGGCTTTGGATGGTGGCTTCCCGGAGTTTTCTCCAGTCACACGATTGGAAGAAACTGTTATGGGTTCTAAAGAAGGCGAAAAATCATCTTCTTCAAGTGCTTTCCAAGAGTTTGAAGCCGAGCTTGACGCTTTACCCAAGTGCAAGAGGCAGAAGTTCACAGCGACAACATCTTCGGTGGAAGCACAACCAAAGGTTTCTCACATAACTGTGGAGCGCAACCGGAGGAAGCAGATGAATGACAACTTGTCTGTCTTGAAGTCTTTGATGCCTTGCTTCTATGTCAAAAGAGTAAGATTTTTTAAATTTATTTTAGGTAGTTTTGAGTTGTTTTACATGTAGTTCTTAACAATAATGTTTACTAAAGTTTCTTCAACTCTCAACTTCACCAACAATGAGAATTTTGTACTTTTGAGCTTGAGTTAGCACACACTAAATTTGAGTAAAAATGACACCTTCTTGCTTATCCTAGTAAAAATTAGGGATTTCTTTAGAGAAATATAGGACTTCTTAAACTAGATTTTTTAACTAATTTTTATTTATTTATTTTCAGACGAAAACAGTTTGAAAGTTCATTTAGTTGACAGTTTTCTAAAATTCGAGATATGCTTACAGATAACAATCTTTTATACTTGTCGTAAAATTGTTTCCATAATTTGAACTTGTTTTTACTTGAGATGTTCCAGATTGAAGGTTGCTCCAACTCTTTCTCTCTCTCTCTCTCTCTCTCTCTCACACACACACACACATTGAGATCAACTCTTATTAATTGTATCTTCTATGGCAATTTCTGTTCTATCTTCTTGTTGGTTCCATTCGTGTAGGGAGATCAAGCTTCGATAATAGAAGGGGTTGTGGATTATATCAACGAATTGCAGCAAGTTCTACAGTCTCTGGAGGCCAAGAAGCAAAGGAGAGTTTACAGTGAAGTTTTAAGTCCTAGGCTTAATGTTTCAAGTAGTCCAAGACCATCGACACCCGTGCCTAGCCCTAGAATGCCACCTCTGAGCCCTAGACTGAACTTACCCATAAGCCCAAGAACCCCACAACCAAGTAGCCCTTACAAGCCTAGGTTGCACCAAGGTTACCAGCTCTCTCCAACCATGATCACCACCACAGCAGTACTCGAAGCGTCTCCTTCTTCTTCCACTTCCTCCATTGATCACAATGCTAATGAGCTTATTGCTAACTCAAAATCAGCAATTGCTGATGTCGAAGTGAAGTTCTCCGGTCCAAATTTGCTTCTAAAGACGGTGTCTTCTCGAATACCTGGACAAGTTGTGAAGATGATCTCCGCCCTTGAAGACCTCTCCCTCGAAGTCCTCCATGTGAGTGTCAAGACCATGGATGAAACCATGCTAAGTTCATTCACCATCAAGGTAAGAACAATAGCTAACATATATTCAGCTATTTAATTGTGTAAAATTATTTGATTTTAGAAGTGGTAGACGTGGCCAAATAATACTGCTATATATATACCAGACCTTAGTCATCTTAGACTTAATATTACATGGTTTAATTTATGAAACTTAAAAAGAAGGTCTAAACCTCTAAATTAACAATCTTCCCATGTATGTTGGGCTAGCTCCTTCCCCCTTTTGTTTCTTCACTCTAGTACACAAACAATATTTCTTTTTCAAGTGTATTAATTCAATGTTTCCTCTCTCTCTCTCTCTCTCTCTCTCAATATTTCATTTTCAAGTGTGTGAATGTTTCTTGTTTCTGTTTGCTCTCTCACTCTATCTGTCCCTCTAGAATTGGCTAGTACATAAAACTGTCCTGACCAGATTCTTTCATCGAGTGTGTTAATGTTTCTTTTACTGTTCTCTCTCTCTCTCTCTCACACACACACACACACGCACACTTTTTTTACTCAATTCAGTATAACTATTGTGAAGCAGAGGTAGCAAAACCTGAATATGATATGACATACAATTAACACCCTTCTTTTGGGTACTATATAATAAATACATTTAAAAAAAAAACATTGCTGCTTCTATATTTATTTCATCCCCAAATTTTCCAAATGGGACATTGTGGTAGTGTACGAGTACTGGTGGTTAAATTTACTACCTACTTCTCTCTTGGAAAGACAATTACAGTGAAAACTAAGGTATTTATTTATTTCTTTGAAAGGAAAACTAGGGTAATTTTTCTTTCTGTGGCATAAATTTATCAATGATTTGTCCTCTTTTGACACTCGTTCTTTATGTTGATTAAACTAAATTTATTGAAACTAATAATTGGGTATATCTGTGCATTTTTTGATAGATTGGAGTTGAGTGCCAACTTAGTGCTGAGGATCTAGCTCATCAAATTCAGCAAACATTCTGCCAAGTCTACTAAAGATTGTTACCTCTCTCTCTCTCTCTCTCTCTAGAGCTGCAATAATGAGAGAGAGAGAGTGTGGTGACGAATTTACCCTCATAGCAATTAACCAGATGTAATTGTAGATTAGTCATGACTTGTATTTGCTAGCACAACCCTTCTAATTCATCTATGAACTTTATTTCTACTACCCAATTTAATTTTATGTAAGTTATGCATAGATTAGTCATGACTTGTATTTGCTGGTATAAGTCCTAACTAATTGATATGTGAATTTTATTTCCAGTAAATAATAAAATTTTATTTGGTTTTACTTGAAATGCCTCTGGCCCCTTCGTGCTTGAAATTTCTCGTTCCAAAATTTTTCTAACATTTTCATAAATGAGAATAAACTGACCTAATTAATCAGGAAAAGGTTAAAAAAGTCAAAAAAAAAAAAATACAGACTACCCAGTTAGAAAAAGATTTAAGTGGACCAACGGTCCATATAGTTAAATGCAGCTGTAAATTTCTCCATCCTAATTTACATAGCATTTGATTTGGAATAGAATCTAAATAATAAGAAACCCACCTTGAGAAAATTTTGGAAGATCCATAAACCTAGCTTTGATGTGTTTTGAAAAAGGAAAATGGTCAAGAGGATTGATGACATGATATTATCTAGACATGTAATGATAAGATTCAATGAAATAAATGTGACAAGATTAGTTAAATTACAAAGTGTAAATGGAAAATTAATAGGAAATTTATACCCAAAAACCCTACTAATGCATATATCCACATTATTTGTGGCTATGGTTTCTATTTTCTTCAGTCAATACTCCATGAAAATGGGTTTTCAACATTATATATGTTGTGCAAAATACAATCATCTAAATTTTCATATATTTCTTAAACTTGCTGAATGTTGGTTTCCCTAATGATGAATCACATTTTTTCTTGGGTCAGTTTATTCACATTTATGAAAATGTGAGAAAAAAAATTGGAATAAGAAATTTCAAGTTTTATATTCGCACTCCCTTTTTAACCAAATTAATGCACTCCACTCTTGAAGTAAAATAACATAAGTGTTCTAGATGTCAAGGATGCACCCGAGCACGCGCACACCTAGGCTTCAGCCTCACATAGGAGCAACACTTGCACTTGTATGCCAAAGTACGCCTTTGAAAATTAACACTTGGCGTCTTTAATGTAGGATATGAATGCTTTAGTAATCACATTGCTTAACTCAGACGCACGCCTTGCGCTAATTTCCAAAGAAACCTCAAACGACTTCCTAACTCCAAAACAAAAAAATCAAGTGTTAACGGGATATACTCCTGTGTGTTTGTTATTCATATTAACAAAACAAATTTTAAAAATAAAAGGATGGATTTGTTTGCAAGGGAGCGCAATTATCATCACCACTTAATCAAAGCAGCCCTAGAGAAGTGCACTTGTTAGTCCTTATCTGGTCAGTTCAGGCAATATTAGTTGCATTAATATGATGTTACCAACCTACCCAATGTATATATATAATAATAAATAAATAAATAAATAAATAAAAACCCATATTATATGTATTGAAAGATTTAGGTGATGAGTATTATTTTAAAAGGTCCCCCCAGTCTGATGCGGACTATCTAGGCTTATAAATACAGTTTTGAAAATTTTGAAAGATTCAGGTGATATTACTTTCAAAGGTCCCCCAGTCTGATATAGGTTTCTGAATTGCTTCAAGCTACGTAACGTACCCTAGAGAGCTGTGTATTTATTTGAAGTATCGCAAAACTTAAGACATTCTTATTGTCTTCCTAACCTACTAACCTTGTAGGGCGATGCTATATACGTCAACTTGTTCTATTATTGTGCATCATTCATTTATTCTCATAGTGTGTTAATGGCAATCCTGAACCCATCTGTAACATATTTTACACATATTTTCGAGTAACATATATATTTTAGACATTTTTTTGATCATGAAGTAATTGTGACGAAGTTTAGATTCTCAATAAACATGCGATCTTCCACATCTGAAGTTGTGAATGTTCTAACATGACCCATTTTGAAAACTATGATCCACTATGTGCAAAGTCGATAATATCTACACGGCAAAGCAAATTGTGACAATATAGCTTTATATAAATAATAATTAATCAAATTAATAGGTTGAAGTCGAATGAAAATATTCCCATCTATTAGAATCAGGAAAAAAATTAGATGCATTTATGTGAGGTAGCATGACCGTACTTATCTCTTTTTCTTCCATCCCTTGATGGGCCAACAATATATATATAGTTTTTTGGTAATTCACTGAATTAAAGAAAAAAGAACTGTACAAGAGGAGGAAGGCCAAGCCTTCAAAAAACAAGGCTCAAGGCCACAACAAAGCCCAAAGGCAACAACCACAACCCAACAAAAGCCCCAAAAAACGATGATCGTTGAACCAACTCTCTCAGAGCAAAGGAAGTTGGAACCACGAGCACCTGAGCCATGAAGCATTGCACATCCTCATAATCGCCATGCTCCCTAAAAACAGAGCTAGGAGATGCCAACTTGAAGTAATGTCATGAGAGATCCTGCAGTTGCGGAATGAGATAGATAGAAGACGGTTACAGACATAATCTTCAATGAGTTTCTGCACAATGTTGATCGATTTGGCCTTACTTGAAAATGTATTGGTTATGACGTTCTTTCCACAGGTGATAGATGGTAGCATACAGAGCTTGTAGGTAGTAACATTATAAGAGGTGGAGTTTAATCAACATAAAGAACGAAGAGTACGAACATTATAAGCTTGTAGGTACTTGAAAATGTATGGTTATTACGTTCTTTCCATAGAGTGCCTATCCAATTGATAAGGCCATGGATATTGTTGTCCCCACTGTAAATGCCACACTTATATTTGCTGAAAGAAGAGCTAGACTTGTGAGGAAAATGAGCGCAGTTGAAGAAAAGGTGTTCATGGGTTCCGGGTTTAGTAAAACACAGAGTATAAGTTGGAGTTGTTAACCAAAAGAACACCTCTTGTCTTCTGGTTTTGAGTTTCCTACATATAGCAAGCCATGATATAAATGAAACTTTGAGATATGATTCCTGAACCATACAACATGAGACCAAGAGATAATGGGTGCAGGAGGAAGTAGGGCCTTGTAAGTGTGCTTAAGGTTGAAAGAGCCAGTAGGGGAAAAAGGGTTCATTGCACCCTATTAGCTCCATTACAGAGGTTTGGGAGTCTCTCATTTGCACCAATAGAGGGGACCAAATTTGAGAAGGAAACAGGGATCTACCATTGGTTTCGGGCGATAAGAGAACTCACTTTTGCATTGTCTTCCATTGAGAAAGTGCTCTGCGATTAGGACTAATTCTTCTTTCAAGAGGGACAAATGGGAGCCAATAGTTGTACCACAATGAGACTTCCTTCCCATCACCCACGATATGTTTGATGAAAAGTCTTGCAATACCTCGAAGCTTCAGAATCATCTTCCATTTCCAAGATCTAAACTAATTGGGGTTGAGATAGAGAAACTTCTATTTTTGATTAGACCTGTGTATGTCCAGTCAAACTAAAGGGATTGGCCATTGTCTCTGAACAAATTCTATATATGCCGGAGAATGGACAGTCTATTCATGGTAGTTATATATATTTGGAATGCCCAAGTAAAAATACCGAAAATTCCGAAAAAAAATCCAGGACATTACAATTTTGCATAAAAAACAGCTCTTCTACATTAGATAGATCATCATGGTAGGATTGGATGAGCTCTTTTTCCTTCTGTCTCATATTTTGGTTATTGAATCACCATTTATCTAGTGCTTCTTTGGCCTTAAGAAATCTCATAGAAATGTCACTGAATTCTTTTTTGTTCAGAAGCTTAAGGTGGTGCTTTAAGGTCCCAAGTTTCATTGTAATTTGGTACATGGTAGTGTCATGGATAGGTTGAGACCAAATAGTAGAGACTGTGTCCAGAAATTTGATATGGTTAACAAGGAAATTATAATATTTAAAAGGAATATATTTTAGGGATAGGAGAGCCAAGGTTAATGACCATTGGGGAGTGGTCAGGCACCCCTTCAGGGAGAAACTCATAGTTGGACATGGGGAAGGAAGTGAGCCAGTTATCATTAATTAGGATTATATCTAACTCTTTAGTATATTAGTAGCACCCTCACTTTTGTTGGTTCAAATGTGGTAAATTCCATTGAATCTGAGCTCTGAGAGTTCATATCTTTGGATACAATTAATTGTTAAACTCAATGATGGCAGAGGTTCACCTCTAAGAGCCTCCACAATTTTCATTAGGATTCCTAACAACATTAAAACCTTCCATTAACAGCTATGATGAACGTTGCTGTGGCGACCATACTCTATTAAGAACAAAATGGTCATAATTATGTAATAAATTCCATGAATTAGCAATAAACCTGAAGACAAAGGCAGTATTTGGTTGTTGAACTTCTGTTTCCAAGATGGCCAACATCTAGACCTTTGAGAAATAATTAAAATTCTTCATTTCTCTTTGTTTTTCATGGGATTTAAGATCCCTGATGTTCCAAGCTATAACTATCATTTAGAAAAAGTTTGAGCTAGCAGACCAATTAAGCCTAGTGCATGCTAGACAGGGTTAGAACAATCCTTTTTTTTTTCTTCTTCATTTTCTGCTTCTCATTGCCGAGGCTTGGGCTCCCATCCTCCATTGTGGCTGAGCACTGCATGATTCAGGCCAGTTGCAGCATAAGGACTCATATGGGGAATGGGAATTAAGTTGAAGTGGAACCTGTTGTGTACTTCAGATCAATGACAACATACACAGAAGTGGACTGGTTCCCAGAGAACATGTCCTAGTAAACAATAGGTTTGGGATCAGTATGGGGATGGATATGATAGCTAGGGTAGGATAAGTCTGAGATGGGATAGTACTATTCTCAGGGGCAGTATCTTGGTCAAGGATTTGGAAAGCATTTCCTGTAGGAGTATCAGTAGTAATGGCCTAAGGAAGGGGGTTTGCTAATTTGGTGCCTTAACTGATTTTTTTGGC